TCACATACATAATACATACATCATACTTCTGTCATATGGCATAAGCAGAAAGAAAGAGAGAGCAATAAGCAAAATTTAACGAGAATTTGACTATTTGAAAAGACATGGTAATGTCCTGATAATGGGTGGCTTTCCATTTAGTGACACAAGTCGACACAAGTATCGTTCTATCTTTCTTAGCTTTCAATGATTAATAAAGACAAAATGATATTTGTGTCGACTAAATGGAAAGCACCCAATGTTTTCCAACGTAGTTAGTAAAGTTACAGGTGACAAATGCGCATTCGATACGAACGAGCTGATATCGAAAAAGATACGCGTGCATCTCGTATACCCGCACAAATACATATACACAAGCATTCAGATGAAATACTTTTTCCTGAAGGACTCCAAACCTCGAGTTATCGATAACGCGGTCTTATATAATCGCCATAAGCTAATTATCTTTTTCATAAGTAGACGAGATATTTTGAGACTCGTGTTTAACTAGTTTGTACACGAAGAAAAACAAAAAGAAAAATAAAATGAGTATCGGCAGTTTTTTCCGATGTGCGTGTGAATAAATCAATTTTTATGATCAGGAGAAAAGAAAAGATCATCAATCTTGACTTCCGAAAAATCTTTCTACCAGCTCACGCAAATCTTTTTCTGCAAACTATTAATTAGCTTTTGTATGTAAGACTGTATAATTAACCTACGAACGTTATGATAACAAATTGTAACTAACAATAAACATTTCTTATGACGATATAATCAATCCTACTGGAAGACATCCGTTAACAAGAATGATAGTTTTATTTTCGGCTGAAATAAAACTCTTTCTTTTTGTTTAACATTCTCATTTGCTCTTTTTCTTTTGTTTAACATTTACATATTATAAATGTAGATGTACATTTATAATTAACTTTAAGGCAAGGAATAGAGAAATCTTAATGTTTTGTATAAAACAATTTATTTTGACTCTTTCGTATAAACAAAAATTGTCATTTCTTAACTTAAAGTAGTTGAAACACGCAAAATCGGAATGGAGTTTTGCTTCTTACATCTTTAATTCGTCAAATACTTTGGAAAGCATATTGTTATGGGACAAATTTCAAATCAATTCTTCGCACTTCATCGCATCATTATACATCGTTACAAAGTATATAATTACATGTAGACAATAAATCCTAAATGCTAAAGACACTCCTCTTCCATTCGAGCATACTTCATCATCTTTCACTTATTGCAAAACGCCTCGCGAAAAATCCATATCTGCACTCTAAATATTACTTTGCTCTCTATTTTCGCACATTTTCTTGAATGTACTTGCTTGCATGAGGAAAACTCCCGAATTGTTTCATCGATTGATACAAAAAATGAACTTTTATGGTCATTTACACGTTACAAATGTCTTATAGCTCGTCAGTTCTAGGCTTGAGCGCCTTGCCCTTGCGATCGTAGCCTTTGAGTTCGTCGGTAGAATGCTTAGCAATGTACTTGATGAAGTCATCGAGCTCGCGACCACCTTCATATTTGACCGGGCTATCCTTGGCGTCCTTGGAAGCCCAATAAAGGGTCGGGAAACCGCGTACTTCATACGGTGCCGGCACGTCGTTCGCCGTAGCGTCAAACTTGACGATTTCGATGTCTTCATCCGCCAATTTCTCGCCCAACTCGTCGTATACCGGTGCTAATTTCTTACAATGTCCACACCAGGGCGCATAGAACTCGATTAGCGTATCTTTGCCGTTATTAGTAACTATGTCATCGAAGTTCTTGGCCACCGCAATCTTTACGTTGCCCGTATTGCTCTCTGGGATCGGCTCGGATTTGAGATACGGTTCCAAAGCGCCAGTTTGCAGATCTTTCAGGAACGCCTCGAACGTATCCATGGAGAACTCATCTTTGAGAACAAACTTCTGATTCTTGGCATCTCGTGCTAAAATGACTGGCTTATCACCCTTTGCGTAGTCGATACCGAAGTCGTTCAACTCATGTTGGAAGTCATCCTTGGAAGCTATGGCGAAAGAATATTCAGGAAAGTCCTTGGCGATCTTGATGATCCTGTTGCGCCAATAGTTTGTACCCTTAGCGTTCTTCACATAATCTACATTATAGTAAGCAACCACCAGAGGATTCTTGAAATCTTGCATGTTGTCGCGAGTACGTAAACCGGCGATACCGTAGCTGCAACATAGTTGATATTAAAAGATGGCCTTATATAAAGTTAAAAATTTTGACAGAAAACTATACTTACAAATTCTTGGAGATAAACTCATTCACGTCACTGATGGAATCGCTACCTTTGTACACGACGATATCATCTTCAAACTTGTTATGGAGTATCTTTGGACGGTAAAGGACAATTGTGTTCCTGAAACAAGAAATCCGTTAATTCATGTATTTCTGAAATAATTATTTTGTGCAAATACAGGAAAATCTTATACTCATATAATTTTTAAAACATACTTATGGGATACTTTGTCCAAAACATTTTTCGCCGATGAATGACCGAATCTGACCTTTTCTCTCAGTTTCTTGGAAACACTATGATATGCTGCGGATAATGGAGAATCATCCTTTTCGAAGTAGCCTATCACAGTGACTTCATCAGTTTCCAAGAATGCTTTGTGAGCCTCTACACTAGTCAACTCTTTGGATGCTGGTCCTACTTGGGACTGAAACAATACATATGTAGAAATATTGTGCAATTTTCTATAATATAATACAATATAATAAATATAATAAAAACGCATATATATTACCTTCATGTACTTAACAATGCCGGGTGCTTCTCTAGGACCGTTGTAATCAGATCTGAACTCGTTACCCTCAAAGATCTTGAGAGTTGGATAACCATTAACGGAAAACTTGTTGCAAGTTTCTTTTCCAGCCTCTGTACAATCCACCTTGGCCAATGTGATTGGTGGTTCATTACCTATGAGCAGCTCAGCTGCCTTTGCATATTCTGGCTTTAAACGTTTACAATGTCCACACCTAACGACAAAATAAATTTCTATTTTTTATTTCTTAAAGATTACAAAATTATAATTGACATAGTAAGAAATTAATTTGTGAATTTCATCTTCGAATAAACGCACAAATAGCTATTATGTACTTCTGTATTCAAAACATAAATTTTGATTTTGATAAGATCTTTTTCAGTTATTCTTCCTTTTTTTATATGTTTGAATAAAATAACTATGTGATCATTGAAATGAGAGAGAAAGGAAAGAGGAAAATAAGTGGAAAAAAAATAATTTAAAAAAGCACATCCAGATCATTACAGTTAAAAAGAATTAGCTGCTTCAAATCTTCTTATCACAAGATATTGAATAAAGATAATGAATAAAGATAATTATTTGCGATATTCGCCCAGCCTTAAAGTATTCCTGAAGACATTAGAAATTTAAATATGTCATCATCAAAAGTCGAATTGAGTAACACCGTATGCCGGATTTGATACCGCAATGAGATATAAAAAAATGAAGACAAAAAAAAGAAACTTCCAAATAGCAGATGTGTGTCCTTATCGCTAATAAAAATTCCGTGTTATAATGTAACAGATTAATTACAAGATATAGATAAAACATTTCTTAGCATTCCATGATTAACGTTTTACTCTTAAATCGAATTTTTCGCAATTTTTCTCATTCCTCATCAGTCGTCTTATTTCGCGTACAGCGAATGCGATGCAATTCGCAAATGCGAGAGGAAAGCGTGAGAAAGAGCAGCTAAAAAAGGTAAATCTGACAAGGACGTCTCTCTTACCATGGTGCGTAAAACATGACAAGGGTATTCTCGTGACGCTCGAGCTCGCTCTCGAAGGTATCGTCGGTGAGCTCCAGGACATCCTTCTCCTCGGCGAGAACACTCAGCAGCAGCAGTGGCAGGACAATCAGGCACTTTCGCAGCATTTTCGCAGCAGCGGGCTGTGTCACCGGCGCGTCAGAAGCAACGTTTCTCTATAGCCGACTGTCTGTCCGTCCGTCGTCGCAGACGTGGCTCTTCCACCAAGTGTCGTGACCAGCGATACACGACGCGGCCCGCGAGGTGCTGTCGCGCACTGATTGGCTGGCCCGCCGCCTACGCGCTGATTGGCCAGTTTACCGCCTGCGCATGCCGATTGGTCAAAATTGTTATCTACGCGCATACGCGTATATTATGTATGAGAAAAAATATGAGAAAAATATGAGAAAAAAATCATCAACGCGGCACGATTTAAATTTTAAATGAAATTGGTAAAGCAATTTTAATAATTAAATAATAATTTCATTGCGTAATAAATAATTATATATAATAAATATAATATATAATAAATATATATATATAATAAATAATTTCGAAATATTACTTCACTTATTTTAATTACATGAAGATCGAATAGAGGACATTTTAATATTTAATACAGAAAATATCCTTTTAAATTGTAAATTTTTGATGCTTAACATTTCTAGATGCGATTTTTTTAAAAATATTTTTTTTTAAATTCAAATTCAAGCAAAGTTAGTAAAGAGAATGAAAAATGTTTTAATTGATTATCATTATTTAAAATTAAATTAATTAATTTTGAAAAAGTAGCTACTTTCTAAAGGGAATAAAGTAGTACAATTAAATTGATCATATGTCTCTTCTGAAAACAAAGTTTAACGTTTCATTCTTACAAGTCAGTCATAATTAATTGATAACAAAATAAATATGAAAACTTATTGTTGAGCCAACCAAACGTTCTAGCAAATGCACAAAAAAAACACGCCTTTTTTTACTCTAGGAAACTTTTAATAATCAAAGTCCCTCCGTTCATATACAAGTCTGATATAAGACTATCAATACAACGAAGACAGGTTCCGTCCATTTACACGTTGCGTGTTTCATATATATATAATTTATATATATATATATTTATATATATAATTATATTTATATATGTATACCGATTATTTACAAAAATCATTACATGTATAT